CATTCATTTGTACTGTCTTGCATTTAGTACAACTGATGAAGATCCAATTGGCTGTCGCTGTGCGGATTCTGCTCCGGCTGATCTGGACAAGAACTGGGGTGGATCACATACTCGGAAGCGGTGCTATTAAAATTTCTTCTTTACTCAACTGGCCGGGTTTAGGGAGGACTGTCCTCTCTGAAGGAGTCTTCCTGCAGCATTTCAGCTTGTTAAATTGACTTTAATGTCATTCTAACTAACATTGTAAAGCACAATATTGTGTTAAACGTTGCCCACTCAGAATCTACTACAGTGTGGTCATCCTGGAAGGATGATTCTGTCATCTGCAGGCCCTTCTTGAACTTTTGTATTTTTTTTCTCGTGTAAGTTTTTTTTTTTGTTTTGTTTTTTTCGTTGTCCTGTTGGGGGTTAAGATCAGGGCAGAGGCGATTGCTCTAAGACTGCAAGGGAAGCTCTGCTTCCCCTAAAATGTCAAAAAATAAGTGATCAAATATATGTGTGTACATACAATTGTGTGTACATGTCATTGACTAAATATGCGCTACAACGCGCTCAACTTTTATTCCGAATCAGCTTCTTATTTCTGGTTACGACGCGACTCTCTTCTCATTCATTCCCGCAGCTTCACTGTGCTTTAAACTGTGTGGACGCTGAGCATCTACAGCGCGGACGCTGGGCGTCTAGAGAGTTCAGTGTAAGTTGTCCAAATGCATTGAAACGAGACGAGTCATTGGATAAATGCTGGTTTTGTCCCGCCCACCGGACGCTCAGCGTCTCTGGTAGTCTATGGACAGTGGGCGTGTATTGGCTGGCCCGGACGCTGAGATTATCTGCATGATGATTGGATGATCTGTCTGAGGCTGAATCTCTTTTTAATTGACAGCAAAATGAGCCAATCACCGATCTTTTGGTGCAGGCGTCCGTGGGAGCATCTTTCAATTCTCATTCTTTCAATTGTCATTCTCAGACTTCTTCTAATCATCTTAGCGACACTCTCTTTGTTGAAAACGAGTAGCGACGAATTAATGTTTTATTTCTGGTGGGTTTTATTGTAGTTGCTGTAGTTGTAGGACACTAGTTAAGTCCCTGAAAAAGACACCTTGTTGGTATGACAGGGTCACTGATCATTGTCTTGAAAAGGAACGGAGAGTAGAATTCACGTAGAAATAAACGGACACATTTTATGATGTCGGCCAAAATTGAGCTTCCCCCTCCTTGACAGACTAGCAGCCACCACTGGATCAGGGGATGTTAATATGATAACTGTGAGCATGTGAAGCTTTTTGAGACGATTTTGTGATTAAAGGTTATATAAATACATTTTACTGGACTTGACAAACACTGTGGTGTTGTTAATCAGCTCTTTATTTAAAGCTGTCATCGATTACAAAATATTTTCACCTAAATTAGTGCTTGCGGCGAACTTTTTGTACTTTTTGTCCTGATTGCACCAGTGCTAAAGTTAGTTGCACCGAAATTTTGGACCACAGCACATGAACAGAGCTGCCAACCGATAGAAATTCACTTCGTGAACAATTCTTTGTTCAGTCATTAACTGAACTGCTCTATCCTCACGAGAGTTGTGGGTGTGCTGGTGGCTATCCCAGCTAACTTCGGGCAGTAGGTGGGGTATACTCTGAACTAGTTGACAGCCAATCGCAGGGCACACAGAGACAAACAACCATGAACACTCACAATCATGCCTCAGGACAATTTAGAGCATGTGTGTCACATCTGGCCCACGAGAGCCTGAAAGGACGGAACATCCAAAAATCTATAGTTTAAAATTATGTGTTAAACAAAAAATACATTTCCCAAAATGTCAAGGAAGAGAAAAGTTGATGCAAACGGGAGACTGTTTGAAGAAAGATGGGAAGGAGAATACGTGTTTTTGCTTCAAGGAGAAAGACCGGTCTTTTATGTTCATAAATGGTGTCAGCTGTCAAAGAGTATAATCTGCGTTTTCAACATTTTGACACCAAACACGGAGCGAAATATTCAGAAGGAGAATTTTTGAAGAAGTGCATGTTAAAGATCTGTGAGCAGTTGTGTCGATAACAGTTACAGACTTTTAAAAATGTGAGTTATTCAAGAAACACCACTCGGACCGAGTTAAGGAACTAGCAGAAAATCTTGCAACGCAGCTGGCCGATGTGACCCACAGCAACACAGTTTTTTCATTCGCTGTTGGTGAAAGCTATCACTTTTTATTTGAGGCGTGAAGTCAAAAACCTAAGAACTTGACCATTTATTTGTCACCCGAGTCAACCTTTATTTTGTTGTTTATGTTCGATTACATGTTGTTTATTTGCAGCTGCTTTTGCAATTATTTGCCGTTTGCATGTTTTATGTGTGGATTTGTTTGAGGACAAATTAAAAGTGTTTGTTATAACAGAGCAGTAGGAAAACATGTTTTCTATGGAGCTGTAATGTTTTTCACTTAAATAAGTAATAAATTCAGAGTTATTTAAAATTAAGGAGTAGTTACATTTATTTTATATTGCATTCAATTATATTAAGTTGTTATTATAAGTTACATCTGGCCCTTTGAAGACAGCCATTTTGCTGATGTGGCCCTTAGTGAAAATGGGTTTGACGGCCCTGATTTAGAGTGATCAATAGTTTTCCTTATTTAAAAATTCTCTCAAGAACATTATAGGACAGCACGCAGGAGTCTTATACTGTATATATATTTAATATTAATGCGTCGAAGAATAAATCACTCAAAACAATTACCTCGCATTGACATTCAAAACAATGCACATTGCACACACATACATGTGCACCAAATTATGTCTAGTGAAACTGTACAGTGAAACTCCTCTACAACGAAATCATGTTGGCAGCAAGAAATTTTTCCCAACAGGGGACTTTTCACTACAGCAAATTTTTTTCTCAGATGTACACACACACACACACACACACACACACACACACACACACACACACACACACACACACACACACACGTATGTGTACTCTTTATTATTATTCCAATAGTACATAAGTATGAGCATACACTTGTTTGACACTTCATATAGCCAGCATAGAAAGAAAAAAAAAGGGAAAGAAATTGAAAAATTTACGATCATCATTCACTTTCACTTACATCAATTTCTTGCATAATGTCTTTTACTTTGCTTCCTCCATCATTCATTTTTATTCCTTTTATCCTGTCTTCAAGCGTTAAAGCTTTTCTTTTCTTCACTACTTGGTCTGCAAAGGTCCATTTTTGTAGCCATTTTAACAATGCAACATTCGTGCTGCATCTGAAACTAATAAATACTTCCTGTACTACCGCACATGTGAAAGCTACTGTGGTGTTGTTAGAGGAATCTATGAGCAAAATTGTATCATGTTTAAAGTTTCATTTAATTTGGGCACAATTAAACGTTTGGGTGCGTATCCGGCACCCCCAAATGCCTGTGCACAAAGGTGCTGGCCACCTGGACGGAGGGCTGTTGAAGTCCACAATTAACACGTCAATGCAGGTGGGCGATCAAAGGAGAGAGGGCTAGAGTCGGTCACAAAGGGGGAATGAATAATTCGGGAACAGCGGTTGAACAACAAAAGACAGTTTGAGAACACCCGTCGCGCCCAGGCAACATTGGCCGTCCGCAAAGTCTGCAACATGTTGATTCAATGCAGACCAGACAGAAAGGCGCCAATGTACCGGTGGTTCAAAGCTTAAACCCAGGTAACCAATCCCTACCGAGGGGCCGGACCGGGGGTGCGGTATGCAAATATCGGGGGCAGTGTTTTCCTTGTATGTTACAATAAAACTCGGAATTGGCGGGAAGGGAGCTGGAGAGTGTGATCACGGAGCAACTAAACAGTCATTCGCGCTCAGAGATCCGCTCACGCCGATATTGAAGACAATTTTCCTGTGTGCCGAGTCATTTCTTTAACTTTGTCCGAGAAAATCTCTGACAGGTGTTTACTGTTGCCGTTTACGAGCTAAGCAGTAGGAGTCGCTGTAGGCTGAGGTCGGATTAGACTTTTGCGGAAGGCTTGTTTTCGTTGTAGTGAATGTCGTTGCGAGGCAAGGGCAGAGAAAAAGATTTCGTACAACGCAGCAGGGATATTTTTCGTTGTAGGGGGAGCAGAAAAGTGGGAATGGTTTTAATGCATAAAGATTTTTTCACACTTGGGGGTATTTTCGCCCATGTAGGTTTCGTAGTAGAGGAGTTTCACTGTAAATATATTTGATATTCATACTTCAAAGAATAGATCACAAAAATATTGACTGAGCAGTAACATTCAAAACAATACCCACTGCGCGCGCACGCATATGCGCGCGCGCGCACACACACACACACACACACACACACACACACACACACGCGCACACACGCACACACGCACACACACACACACACACACACACACACACATATTTTTCATGAAATTCAACACCCCAAACATGTCACTGCGAATGGCCATTTCATGGGAAGACATTTTTAAGGACTAAAATAGCTACACTTTTGCCAGACCCGATAACAATCCAAGCAAGTCCCGCTTGTCTCACTCTTGCCCGGGATGTTAAAAGTGCGGTATAAAGTCACAACACCTCATCGATTTGTACGGTTGGCCATGTCCATTAAGTCCACATATAGCCGTCAGTAACTTTGTAACTGTAAAAATTACAGTTAAAAAGGAAAAGGCAAGGCTAGGCATCACACTTCGGTGTCCGCCCCGAAGACGCCACCCTCGAGGCGGGGGCCAGAACAGTTATGCGAGGTGAACGCCAAGCTCTCCAGCTGCGGCTCTCATTCAAGTGAATGGGACCCAGCCAGAGGTGCTTGTGCTTTCACAAAAATTTCCCCCACGCGGCAATATTTATAATCAATATGGTTATTCAACTTGAGGAGACTTCTGATTGTTGTACGTGTACAACCTGTAACTATTTTTCAGTAGCCATATACTGTATTGATTGAAAATGTGATCTGTGAAGAAAAATGCTACACATTTCATTGTGAAAGCTGTGAATGTAACTGTACCTTGACTGCTGCAGGTCCAGTCAGCCAGTGCTGAACTTTGAATCAGCGGAGTGACTGCTGGTTTAGTCTGCTGAGCCAGACAGATTGCTGTAACCGCAGTGCTCCTTCCATCACAGTCTACCTCCCTTGAAATATCTCTGGCACCATTTCCACTCTCTCCTGAGTTGAGCACATAACCAAACCTGGCGGAGGTAGTGCTCTGTGTGTCTATAGTGTAGCTGTGCCCAGCAACACAACACCACACTGCTTTGACTGAGCCCCAGCACTGCCCCTCAAGAACCTCCTTCAGATCAGGGCAAGATTTGCAAGCCTCTCCATGATGATGAGCCCATGACACAAGGTTGTGAAGGCACGCAGTGTCTGAGGAAAGTGTTTGTGAAACTGGAAGGAAAAGAAAATATAACAACAAAAATGTCTCAGATTGAAGCAAATTGTTAAAGTAACTTTGAAGTTCTAACAATAAGGACAAACAGGTGATGATTTTTCTTACTTGTTGACCCATCGTTTATCAATGAGTCCGAAAACATTGGATTGTGCCTGAGAAAAAAAGCATAAATAATTATTGTAGATTTACAAGGAAAATTAAAATACACATCAAAGTAACTACAGTAAATTCTGACACCAAATATGGTGCTTACAAAGTCTCACCTGTTAGAATTGTCTTTCCCAAGAGGCAGGTGATTAACCATCTGCAAAAACCTGACCAAAATATTGTGGCACTTATAGAACTCGCTGTGACATTTCTTGCAAACAAATTCCGATAATCGAGGGTCAGGGTCTAACTGCACTCCAACCAGTTGCTGGAAGTCAACATGGAATACAGGTGGTGACTGGTCAACAGCATATGCTTCGTCATGAACAATATCAGGAAAATCCTGAGGCCATTTGTTGAAGGCAGGCAGTAGACTCCGTGGAGAAAACTTGCCATGGCACAATCTGCACATGTCAGTGGATATTCCTTTGGGGATGAAATCAAACATCAGTTGGAAAATTATGGTGAAAATTCCGTTCGTGTTCAGTGAAAAGTGTCATTACAAAACATGGTTTAAATATGCTATAATTTAAAGTATTTATAATAGCATTGCTTAACTTTCACCATCGCCATCCCTCCCAGTTACAATGCATATTTCAATAGACACTCGAACTTTCCAAGCAGTAAACTGTTTGACAAAATACTTTCAACTTAAAAATCCATCCGCCACTCACTGGAGGATTTTGACTTGACATCTGAATGCTTGTGCTTGTCAGTCAAAGTGTAGGTAGAACCTGTTTTGTCATCTCTATGACGCAGGTCAGATGTTACTGCAGTCATATGACTGTTTCTCTGAGTTTTCCTTCTACTTCCACATGGTCTCTTCCCCTCACAGGCTCTCCTGGAATGCTGTGATAGCTCGGATGACTTTAGGGATCTACTTTTCTTCTTCATGGTCTACTACTCGACTTTCAGCAGTTGATGCAGATGATGGATCACCGATGGCCCTGCTGATACAAAAATACAATATGATTCAAGTTCTAAAGAGGAAAATTCAGTTCAAAGAAAATATAACAACAAAAATGTCAAGTGAATAGGACCCAAACAAAGGTTGGCTTTGGTGATGTGGATGTTCGATGCTGCACAGTTGAACCTTTTCTTGGGAGCTGTCCTTGGACCACAGGGTTGAATGCTCATGAGGAGTTTGGATTGTGAGTACCGGTCTATAAATGAGTGTGTGTGTGTGTGTGTGTGTGTGTGTGTGTGTGTGTTATATTTATATATATATTTTCCTTGTCACACCCCTTGGGTGGTGTACGTCCGACATTCAGCTTGGGTCCTCTACCAGAGGCCAGGAAGCGTGAGGGTTCTGCGCAGTATCTTTGCTGTTCCCAGCACTGCGCTTTTCTGGACTGAGATGTCCGATGTTGTTCCTGGGATCTGTTGCAACCACTCATCTCGTTTGGGGGTCACTGCCCCGAGTGCTCCGACTACCACAAGCACGACTGTCACCTTTACTTTTCAGGCCAGGCTCTCTCCAGCTCCTCTCTGAGCCCTTGGTATTTCTCCAGTTTCTCATGTTCCTTTTTTCTGATGTTTCCATCACTTGGGATCGCTACATCCACGACAACGGCCTTCCTCTGCCCTTTATCTATGATCACGATATCTGGTTGGTTCACAATTACCATCTTGTCAGTCTGGATCTGGAAGTCCCACAGGAACTTCGCTCGGTCATTCTCCACCACCTTTGGAGGTGTTTCCCATTTTGACCTTGGGGTTTCCAGTCCATACTCCGCACAGATGTTTCGGTTGACTATGCCAGCCACCTGATTATGGCATTTTATGTCAGCCTTCCCTGCCAGCATCTTATACCCTGCAGTTATGTGTTGGATCGTCTCAGGTGCCTCTTTGAACAACCTACACCTTGAGTCTTGTCTGGTGTGGTATATCTGGGCCTCAATAGCTCTGGTGCTCAGGGCCTGCTTCTGAGCAGCCAGGATGAGTGCCTCTGTGCTGTCCTTTAGGCCAGCCCTCTCTAGCCACTGATAGGACTTCTTGAGATCAGCCACTTCCGTTATGGTCCGATGGTACATCCCGTGTAGGGGCTTGTCCTCCCATGATGGTCCCTCTTCCAGCACCTCATCCTCTGTTCCCCATTTTCTGAGAGATTCTCTGAGTACGTCATCCGTTGGAGCCTTCTCCTTGATGTATTCATGGAGCTTGGATGTTTCATCCTGGACAGTGGCTCTAACACTCATTCGTCCAATCCCTGGCCTCCTTCCTTACGGCCTGCGTACAGTCTCAGGGTGCTGGATTTGGAATGGAACCGTCCATGCATGGTGAGGAGCTTTCGGGTCTTAACAACCATGGTCTGAATCTCTTCCTTTAGCCACCTTATTATTCCTGCAGGGTATCGGATTACTGGCAGGGCATAGCTGTTTATTGCCCGGGTCTTGTTCTTGCCATTGAGCTGGCTTCTTAGGACTTGCCTCATCCGCTGGAGGTGTTTGGCCGTAGCCGCTTTCCTTGTTGCCAGTTCGAGGTTGCCATTGGCTTGTGGTATACCGAGGTACTTGTAGCTGTCCTCAATGTCTGATATTGGTCCTTCAGGGAGTGAGACCCCTTCAGTGTGGACTACCTTGTCTCTCTTAGTCATCATCCGACTACATTTCTCAAGCCCGAATGACATCCCGATGTCACTGCTGTAGATCCTGATTGTGCGGATCAGGGAGTCTATGAGGGACATAGACAAGTCTTGAGGGTCATCAAGATGTCTTTTGGCAAATGTGATATGAGCCTTTGTGTTCTTTTTGGACGGCAATGTTTTTCGCCTGGGCACTCTCCCATTGATGCCATATTTGGTCAGTGTCTTTCTTATGGTTGAGTGGTGAACACTGATCCGAACTGAGGTCAGCAAGCTCTGGAGTTATTTGGATGTTGATCTAGGTTCTTTTGCAACCTTGTGGATGATACATCATTACACTCTTGGAGTAATTTTAGCCGGTCGACCATGCCTGGGAATGTTTGGCACTGTTACATGTTTTCGCCATTTGTGAATAATGGTAGTGAGAGTGGTTCATGGAGCCTGAGAGTCTTGGAAATGGCTTTGTCACCTTTTCTAGATTTCAATTTTAGTTATTTATATTTCAATAACTTTTTTTATCTAATTTCTTCTCAAATTTCTTTGGATGGTGGCATGATGCGTTTTTTTTCCTGAAATCTTGTAGCCTACTTCACTTTGTCTGACAGACTCTATTCACATGATTTTTTTGATTCAACAAATGTGGTGTTGCCTGTGAAATTGACGTCAGCTTTCCCAAAACTGTCATTAGTCACAGTTATTTTGTGATCCAACTTTTTCTTAGAGGGTCAGAAAGGTTTGGATTTCTTTTTTGTGCCTTGATAAATTGAATTGTCATTAAAAACTGCATGTTGTATTTCTTTTGAGTTGTCTCTGAGTGATAATAAAAAGGGTTTGATTATTTGAAACCTATGTGTGGATAGATGCCCACGACCCACCAAAAAAAACAGAAAAATTGAAATAAGGAGGAGGGGGGGGGGGCAAATACTTTTTCACAGCACTGTCTGTACATATTTTTTTATTTGATTTGACTTTTTATTTGGTCTCCCGTAGGAGAAACTTGTCTCGGACGACATGCCCTCTGTGCTGCTACATGCATTGAACAATACATACACATCTGCTACACAACATACATTGGACACAGGACAATATACAGTAAATATTCCCATCTACAGAGTTCTTTCAAAAGGAAATTTCCTCACCCGGACGAAAAACCCATGCATTAAAATTTCGACTACGATGTGACATTAACGATCATTTAATAACAATGGAATTTCCACTACCCAGAACCTGGAAGCCATACAGAAGCACGCAGTGGCGCAAACACAAGCAAGTCCCACTCGATACTTTCTTTCCACCATCTCACTGTCTCTAACTCGACCTCCCCTCGATCGCCACCCAAGACAGCGTTGCTCAGCTGATGTCATGCAATGAACTTTTAAGCCAGCCACGGGACGCTTCGTAGTCCTCAATGGCCATAGGTAGCTCTCAAAGGCTAAAAACCTTACGCTAACTGGAGCGCTTCTCTCTCATTAGCGCTCCAGTTAGCGTAAGGTTTTTAGCCTGATAACAAGTAAAGCATTTTCAAGGAAAAGCAATTTACTCTGAGCAGCTAATCGGATGCATTCCACTCTATCTTCTACGGATTGAGCTTCAGTATCTACACACATAGACAGTGAGGTCCCTCTTGGCCAATCGGAGGCCAGGATGATGCTCGGTAAGCCAATGGCAGAGCAGCTATCAGTATGTTGCGTTCAGGAAACTCGCAGCTGTGACCGAAATAAACATCGTTCACGATGTAAAGCAGTGTGGTGGTTGCTGTTACCATTTCCGAACGAAGCAGTAGAGGTCGCTGTTGGATTAGACTTCGTCTTAGTGAATGTCTTCGGAGCAGAGAAAATGATTTCGTATAACGCAACAGGGGGTTTTTCGTTGTATGGGGGGCATTAGAATTGGAATGGTGTGAATGCATGAATATTTTTTCACATTAGGGTGTATTTTCGCCCATGTAGGTTTCGTTCTAGAGGAGTTTCACTGGACTTGCATGTTCATAAAGGACATGTACCATGCTCATTTCCCACAACAGGAAATTCTTTTATAAGGAAGGATTGGACAGCGCAAATATTATTCCTTACTAGAGATTATTTCCTGTATCGTCTTCACACAATGGACAATATACAGGTACAGTAAATATTCTCTAGTGCGGACTTGTGTTTGCGCTGTCCAATTTGTCCTGATAACAGAAATTCCTCATTTGGGAAATGAGCATGGTACATGTCCTTTATGAACCTGCAAGTATGTTGACAAAATGCACGTGTAACAACACAATCAATAAAATACAAAAATATACTGTCCAAAAACTGTTTATACAACAAAAACTGCAATACAGGTGTATCCCAAAAAAATTCACAACAGTAAAATACGTACAGTATTTTAATGTTTATTTTTCTTCTGTCTTGGGAAAAGAAGTGTGTCTATTTTGGATTGTTTGGTTGGATGCATTCTTTGGTTTATGACAATGTTTGCCTGCGTGTCATACAGTTTTGTTGCTAGTTGCAAGTAACTGTCCCGTTGATCACCGATGTCTGGTAATTCTTGTGCATACTGAAGGATTTGTTGCTATTTGCATTGCTTCCTCGCTGGATGGTGGCTTGTCATCAGGAGTTGAATCG